AACCTTGAGAATGATGGACCCAGGGGTGTCAAAACTCCTGCCAGAGGCCGCTGAAGATGGTCATCTCCGGTGTTCCATCTAAAATGATCCATCAATTCCATAAATAGCTAAGTCATACTCAACCAATCCAATAAGAATCCATACCACACTTTCTCCAGGATTTCCTTGATCCAAAGGTCTGATTTTTTCTCTCAGGTTTTCCCGCCGCATCTTTTAGGAATTCGTCAGGGTCGAGTTCTGTCGGGTCGAGTTCGCGTCCTTGTTGTGCCCAGAGCCTTGGAGAAGTCCAGATCTATGAAAAGCAGGAGGCCAGAAAGCGATATCCCAGGCAGCTCGAGCCGTTTGGGGATGGATGAAGAGTAACGTCCCCCAATTCTGGCCATTTTCTTGGGGAAGATGGCGAGTAAAACATCAAAATCTGCCCATTTTCGGAGAAACTCATGATAGAGCTTAGTGAAGAGTATTTAACCATCAATCAACGGGATCAAACATGGGTTTCATCAATAAATATGGTGAATATCATCATAGCAAACCAACTGGTGACGGCTAGGCATAAATGCGGATCTTTCGCCATCAATAGGCAATTTTTTCAGTCGTTTAACCACTCACATTTTTGCAAGGCATCTCAGATTCGGCCTGTCTCCAGACTACATACTGTAGTCGCTTTTTGCTGATGATGAAGATGACAAAAAGGGGATATTAACATATATTAACCATATTAATATGGATATTCATACTGAGGGTTAATGATCATGGGATATTAATGGGGATATTATATTATATTATATTCACTCTCATTATACCATATTAATATGGATATACTACAAAGAATTTATTTGGCTGGCCCCTGAACCCGATAAGTCCCGAGGGATTTGGGCTTGAAGACTTGTATTTCCAACTTGCTCCGTGCAACAAGCACGAGCAATATTGAGGACAAATCCAACAAGACTGGTGATTTGCTGGCTTTTCATTTCATATATGTTTCAACTCTTACTTGGTCTCATAAAGCCAATTCATCAAAAATTCTCGGGATGGGGTGACAGTAAAAAGCAATGGGTATAACCAAGATATAGGAAGCATATTTGGCATGTTCACAACATGGTTTTTCATTTTGCACCCCTGACTGGGACGCCGCATCTCGTGAAAACATGGTTAAGTTTCCCAGAAGTTTGGGAATGGTCATACCGAATGGTCATACCCCGATTTTCATAATGGTAAATCGACTACCATTATGTTTGGAATCCCTAAATGATGCGATGACCAGGGGC